ACGGAGTAATCTTTATGTATTCGAAGCATTCCTTTGCACATTGCAGGCAACAATAATACTTTTGATTTTACCTAATTCTAGCTGGCATACTCCGCTTTACTCGGCTTTTGCGTCTGACTAATGTATTTCATCCAATTCTGGTAAACTGCTCACATTTGTGTAGGCATAATTTAACGCTTTTATAAAACAAAAAAAGTGCAGCTATTATAAGATTGAACGGTACTCGGCGTAATGTGTCGAATAGGGTTCATTTTTGAAACTTAAAAGCATTGGGAGTGGGACCTGGCACTTGCTAGCAATATATGTACGCGCTCTGCGTTTAGAACGTTTCCATTTGTTGAACTAATTGCCAAGAAAACACTGCGTAACTTAGTTATTTTGCCTCACACCTCACCACGCCTTTCCCATTGATATAAATAAGCAACCGCTCCGCATTGACTACTTCATTTAGTAATCACACTGATTTGCATGATCGTACTTAATTAGTTTGATAATGATTGATATTACTTCATTCTTAAAAATGACGTAATTTGGCCAAAAATACGCAAATCAAAGCCATCAGACGTCTAACTACTGTACAAAATAGCCTATGTTACTCGCCGGCGTCTGAAATGTATGTGTGCAGAATCTGGGCCTTATCGATTCAGATACAAAAATTTGTATTCCGAACATGCATACATACATAAATACATATATACATTCATACAGACTTTCTGCTTTATATATATAGGAAATAATTTATAAACTATCATGCTTTAGCGGCAATACTAACGAGTTTGCCCCACAATCCACTTATACTTACACTTCTTTTAAGTATGTCGTTAATGCCAATATTTAAACTACCTTGTTGCACGGTTGTGTCCTTTTTGAGTTTGAATTCGAACAGAACTAGATTTTATTATCTCCTTTTCACATCGTTATACAACATATAAATTAAGCATAGATTTTCTTTGATTTTAAAGGTCCACGTAAATGGCTGAAGTATGGCAGAATACCTTATAGTTGCTAATACGAACGAAGAATCCAACAGTCGCTGTCTTCACAGATGAGCAGGATAAGAGTGCTATCCAGCTATATAAAGCAAATGAGAAAAGCATGAATTAAGCTCACAGAACCAAATAGTTCCTCACTGTCTTTACTGAAGGCTTCGAAAAGACAATCCCAAGTAAGTAATGACGAGTCGAACAATTCAACGAAATTATGTGTTATGAAGTAGAGAAGCAGAGATTCTTTAGGTCAACCCATTACACCTGAAAAACTGTCTCATTCTTTTCATTCAAACACATGCCTAAATTTTTTGAAATTAATTTTTTGCCGTGGCATACTGGACCTGGACGCTCATTCAGTAAAAATTCATACCTTCATAAAAATCTCCAGTACATATAGAAAGCCGTCAACTTTTGTATTCGAGCTTACAAACAGATAAATAAATATTAGCATTATAAGTTTTCCTTCAAAAAAAATAATATCGATTCAGTCTTTACTGGTAGCTTTTTTGCACAAGCTACCACAATTTTACGCTATTCATAAGAAAATTGGCCAAAAATGGCAACACCGATTTTTATAGGATAGAAGATGATACTGCATTAGGTGATTTGGGTTGATTCTCATTACAAATTCTTTTGCGTCAAATTTGCACCATCACCGAAGATATTTTGTTAGTGGTTTCCCCAAAATTCGCTCCCAATCAATTACTTGGTCCGTTCCGTTTCCAACTTTACAGTGTACCCATGATCCTTCATGTAGCTGCTATTCAGTGGCAAAACAGTCGGGTATTGAGAAGAATTGAATCACGGTCAGTTGCTCAATTGCCGGCACCGCTGAATTACAACTCACAACCAAAGTTTTGAAAGTCTGACATGCTATAATTTCTAATCAATTGTTTCCCTGAACATTGCCTGCCTTGGAGTGAGTTCACCTAACGCTATCTTTCGATGATCTCTGCTGAAGGGCTACAGGCAGTATTCCGAATTACTGTATTCCCCATCCGGAAAGTTGCTTATATAGTATGGTCCTTAAGCACCTTGACCTTTCGAAGAAGTGAAGAAAAGAAGATTGTTGTGACCCACATATTTACTTGGAGATAGTCATTTTCATTAAAAACCCTAACAGACTTCCGCCCAAGTATATTTAAATTGGTCCTCAGTTACAATATTCTCCACAACATCAATCCATCATGCATGAATTATGTAACCCTCTTTCAGTTGACCTTTATCCCGATTGTGCAGCTGACTGCATTAAAGCGGTAAAGCATACCAACATTAAACGTGATTTTTCCAAGAGATGCACTATTTAAGGACAAAGACAAGTTGACGCTAGAGGAGAGAAAGCGTTACTCTGAGAAGGTAGCGATGATTTGTTGTGTAAGTCTTCTACAATCGCATAAAAGCATGTAACTTTCTTTTCGGTATAAGCTACTATTAATATTTGTGAAGCTGCGTTATGCAAAAGCTAATTTTTTCGCCCTAGGAGATATTTGCTTGATAAGATTCTATGCTTTAAGTTTGTTTGAGTATCTTTGAAGAAACTTAGCTTGTTAGGTAGAGCACAATTGATGCAATATTCATTTAGTCGATAAAGGATCAAAATAAAAATAAACGAGAGTTCACTAATGTACCACCCAAACTGCATTTGAATAAAGCAGGAATTGTGCAAGAGGGTTACATCCGATCATCCACAGAGTCCATCAGCAGTGTAACCGGGACTTCCCACATTGCATGCTGAACCCGTTGG